GTACTCTCTCTCTCTCTCTCTCTCTCTCTCTAACCCTCACGGCCACGCCACTACAAGTCCGCAACACATTTATGTAATTTGTTTTTTGTGATAATTTTCTCTCTTTTTTTATTTTATTTTTTATTTCTATGTATCAAAAATTGACTTTGCTTGCGTTTTGTTTATGATAATTGGAAGTTGTTGTATTCCAATTGATGCATATGAAGTTCATATTTTTTTTTAACTTTCCTTGGTCTGAGTTGAGTTGAGTTTGACCCTGCCCAGATTTGGGATGTATAAAAGAAAAGTCACACTACTTATGCAAGTTTTAATTTCTTTACCATGCTCTAGGTTGTATCTTTATATTTCAGCTAAATGTATTATCATGTTTGAGAACTAAACCTTGGTTTGTACACATTTTTATATTTATTTTTTTTTTTTTTAATTTAATAGAGAGGTTCTTAGTTTTAAAGAGGCCATTTTGTTATACATTATTCATTTCCTATAATTTTTATCAATCCTTTTAAGCAATAAAATGAGTAATCAACGAATACGTGAATTGCTCAAACAAATCCCAATCAGCTCTTCTTCCCGTGGAAGAATAGATAATAACAAACAAATCCCAATCAGCTCTTCTTCCGGTAGAGGAATAGATAATAACTATTTATATTGGAACGAATGGTTATCTTGATTCATTAGAAATTTGACAGATTAGGAAATTTCTTGTCCAGTTACGTACTTAAAAAATAATAAATCTCAATTTCAAGAAATTCTATCTTCTACCAAATCATTCACCGAGGAAGTGGGAGGAAGTGGAAGCCCTTTCGATAACACAAATATCTATTTAGTAGAATATGATATAACATGTGGCTTCTGCGGAATTCTTATGCATACCGAAAATGATACATGGATAAATGAATTCTAACTATTTTCAAATAGAATCATATGATTGGCAGATGTTTGAAATAGAAAGTCGACGCATCCATATGCATATTGATATCTCTAATGGGAGCATATGAAGGAGATGTCATTTTTTTGACCTAACCAATTTGACGAATTACTCCTAAAGGTTAACCTCCACCCTTGTGGGTAATCACAATGGCTCATCCATTTGCATTTCATGTAGTATTTTTAAACTTCGATGAAAAGCTGTATGTCGGGGTAATTTTAATAGGGTAAATTACTTGTAGCAAATATTGTTACAAGCTATATAAGCAATTCACAAGTTCCTTCAAGTTATATGTTTCCTTCTGCAGAAGCTTCAAGATAACAGACTGCATTGAATTGAGATGACCATGAATGTAGAGGTCCTTCATATAGTTGGTATCAAGGGCTTGAAACTATTATGTCCATAGTAATTAATTAAAGTTTCAAATAAGCTAAAATAAAAAATTATAAATTATAGGTTTCGAAAAATCTCGCTTTTCAGTTAAATCAATACCTAAAACATTAAATTTCCCAAAATATATTTAGAAAAAGGTTTAAATGAAACTCCACAACCTAGCAGTCTTAAGAAAGTTAAACATATACACCAACAAATCACAACCAAATAACTCACAAACTTCTTCACAAAAACCTGACAATTGAAGCAGTGTTATATGGTGGATCGAGAGCAAATATCACCATTAAACAAACCAAACTACTCGAGTTCAACTCGTTAAAAACTCATTCTACATCGATTGATTATACAAACAAGCTAAAATTAAACATGATTTTAAATTTGTTAAATTTTCTAATCAAGTTTGAATAGCCTGCTACTCAACTTGACAAGCTTATATTCATTATTAAAAAATAAATAAATAAATAATAATCAAGATACTCATATTCAAATCATGTTCGGATCGTTAAAAGCTCGTTCGAAATCAACTCGCTAGCTAAACAAGTCAAGTTCTAACATAATTTTAAACTCATTAACTTATCAAATCAAGTTTCAACATACTAACCCTAAGCGCAAATTGCAATTACTTGCATACAAGTTCTACACTATGAAAATATATAATTACATCATTTTTTTTTATTAATTCATTTATTTAAATTCTTTGTTAGCAATTAGGGTTATCAAGAAACCACAAGAAGGACTAAATTAATGAAAGGCCACTTGCATGGCTCTCTTTATTTAACCTGAAAATATTAAACAGACAAAAAATATGAACAAAATCAAAAAAAGAAAGCAATCACAAGCACGAAACTCCGTGCCATGCATAAAAAATGTCTTTTAATAACTCTGAATTGCACACTGATCACTCTCAACTCCCACCTTGCTTCCCATGTAACCACCTATTCAAGTATTTTTCAACATTTCTTCACTAATTTTCCAACAATCCACTTTTCAAAGTTCCTAAATTGCAAGTTAAATGGAAATATAGATGCAATATCACAATTTCCAAACCCAGGGAAAACAAACAAAAACAAAATGTTGATCCCTATTTCCATTTTTTTAAATTCCTCCTTTTTATCGTCAAATCTGTTCTGGTAACATGCACAATATCTCATTACATCAGGAAAATATAAAAGCAACACTACAAACATGAGCAGGCAAACGTAAACAAGAACTTTGCAGCATGAAATGCAGAGACATCCGAGGACTTTCAATCCCTGTACAATTATGAGTAAGAGGATACAAGAGATACACTAATAAAATATCACACAGCTTATATTTTCCCCTGAAAAGGTGAAACAGTAACTATTCACTGTACGTTTGAAAACAAAAAACTATCCTAAAAGTTGAACCACCACACTTCAGAATTGCACAAAGCCAGGTATGGAACGATAGTGAACCGAGGCCAAAAGTGGCACATCTACTGTTTTTTCTATCTTTTAGTACTAGAAACAGTGATATACTACTAGCCTAGCTTAATCAAGTAGTTTTGAAATTACTGCAACCTTCCATATCCCAAATATGTCATGCGAGGCCAAGGGGTTAGCCCCAGGTGATAAGCTGCTTCACCAGTCGATTAGCCTGTGTTTGAGCTTCATCTGTCCCACAGCAGCACTCCCTTCCAGGTCCCCCTTAGATAGCTATAGGATGTTCTTACATAAACTAAAATAAGAAACAAAGATACCCACCACAGTCAACATCTTCTAAAATGCATATATGCGAGTCTATCTTGCAAATGCATCCGCAAATTCTCATATAATACACAAGGCTATTACCTCCAACGGAAGCCAATGAAAAGCAGACACACAGAACGGTACATACTCAAAGATAATCCTCAAAACAATCAAACCTGGTAAGCTAAACAAGATATTCCTATTGTTGTCAGGTTTCACTTCCTCAAGAAATTAAAAACAAAACAGAAATGGATATCCATGGTGCAAGGTCCAGAAATAGAAGACGCACCAATTTGGACATTGCTATTCAAGGTCAAAACCATCCATAAAGCTTACTAATTTGAAACAACGTGAAAGGTTCAACCATCATTGGGCATTCCTCATAAGTCACAACAATTAGAGAAAACAGCAAACCCCCTCAAACAAGAAGGAGCACATCAAAGTCCCCAAAACCTTCCACCATGATATCCTAATTGAGTAAGCCAAACCAAAGAATGGTAACAGCCAGTTTAGTGATAACTACAAAGCCATTCTAGAAGCTTAAAGAAACAAAGTAGAAGCCTCTAAATAAGAGGAAAAAATGCTTACATACTGAGCATTAAGCATCAGCAATCACTAATCTGATTCAAATTGCTCTAGACAGTCAACAATTGACTCTAATAACCACACCGATACAACACAGCTTTGAACTAGCATCAAAACATTAACAACAGTCCATAGTAGGACTCAGTTAGAAAACAAGGACAATTACTACTATGTACTTAGCAGTACCTCTTACAAAGTGCCACTACACATCTAATCTCAACTAATTTACGAGTGCACTTCTCCATTTATCACATTTCACTATCAGTTTCTATGCAAAATAAATTGGTTTTCTTACCAATTTTCCAAATATTCTAGAGCTTCTTCGCATGATTACAAACTTCATACCAATGTGTGCATTCTCCAAGTGACTCACACATCTTAACTAACAGATTGCAATGTACTTAGCAATCTAGTTCATGTTTCCTCGCATTCTTCAATTCAATTCCAAAAAATTTACAATTCCTTTCATCATAGCAAGCCCCTTGCAAAGTCGTTGCTCCTTGCAACAAGGTACTTCTTTAAATTTAAAAAATTAAAGAAGAAAGCATGAATTCTGTCTTCTACGTCCATGTCTCTTTCCAACATAGTGAATACCAAACAATGAACAAAACCAAACTTAAAAATCCCATGACCTCATACCAAAAACATTCAAGAACAACGAGAGGTATTACAGGCAGGTCTTCAAACTGTTTGGACACCTGATAGATGTAGCATATTATATATACATGAAAAAATGAACCCAGCAAATAGTAGCACTGTACTCGGTAGGGTTACCACAGCAAACAAGAGGCATCCAAACAAATTGCTGTGATCAGAGACGATTGAGAAAGTTCGTAACAAATACATAAAAACCAGGCTCTCCTCTTTGCCCAAGAACTACAAACTTGCCTCCATTGACAAGTTGAGATTTACACATGGAGTGTGGTTTTTTTTGACCAAATAAATACCATACAGAATGGACTAATCTGACAAGATTAAATAATGATTCAATGCCCCAACATAAGGTCCATTTAAAACCCTTCTGCCAGTGGAAAGCGACAGTGGGTGCACAGGAGAATATGATTTGAGTTTGTAACAAATACTGTAGTCACTCCTGATATTATTAAATTTCCAATAGCAACTTAACCTCTCTGTCGTTATGACAGAATATGAAGTGAGTTCCAAAAAAATACTCAAGCAATTAACATCATCACAAACCTTTTGTTGAACTTAATCTGGATAAAGTGATATAACAACTCACAATTCTCTTTGCTGTTTAACTTGAATGTTCTTCGATGTTGGTTTCAAGTGTCGTAAACTGTATATAGAATTAGTCAGCAGACTTTCACACCTTCAGCATTCTTTAGCTGATACTTATCCAATGATTTCAACATATTCAAAGTTCCTTAACCACATTAAAGGCACCTTGCAGCTTGTCATAAATTTCTTCCCATAGAAACATATGGTTCGCATACCTCCTCTTTGTCCATCAGGTAAAATATTACATGGAGATGGAGCGAATAAAAACTTGCATTCATAAAAACCACAAAGGAACGTACTAAGCATATGTTGTTTTAATCTCTAAATATAACTCAGATTTCCTTACAACAGCAAAATAAGAGTAGACAGAATCCAAACTTTAGATCTACAATGGCCTGAAGTAACAGATACCCCTTTACTCAAAGCTAAATTCTCCTCTTCTCAACCATAAAAGAGGCTATTATGCTTGGCAATAGGCTTCTCCACATCCGTAGGCATCATAGTGCATAACCTTTGAATAATCCACATCCTATGGCAGCCTCTTTGTCAACTTAAATCTGTGCCATAGATAAATTCACAAGTAACCACAATGCACCCTTGTTTTTTCCAAGCACAGCTCTTATGATGAAGATACGGATGCCATGCCTAATGACAACCAAGGTCTTCAACAAATAAAACCAAAACAAACATCTAACTACTCGTGGCCTTACAAACAAATTGAAATAAAACTACACCTAAACATACCTCAATAGTATGATCCAGAACCACCGCTGCCCATGTAACTACCGCCACCCAATCCACGGCCAGAATACATTGACGAGTAAGAGCTACCGCCAACCTGCAATGTCAAAAAAGAAATATATGCAAGATTAAGTATTGACTCTAAACAGCAAAAAGGCGCAATAAGCAGAAGATTGGGCACAGAAGCATACATCAGATCCACGAGACACATAATCTCCACCATAGCTTGATGAGTACATCCCACCAACATCACTACTACTGAAAGAGCCTGCACAACAAAATGAGCACAAATGCATTTAACAGGACAAATATCAATGGTGACATGTTGCATGTACATCTTAGTCATAACTTAAAACGCACCTCCACCATAACCCATACCCTGACGACTGCTATAAAGCCCATGTGAATCCTGACTGGAGAGAGAAGTTCTGCTGCTACCATATCCCAGACTAGACCTCCCAAGTCTAACACAACCATGACACAGAAAGTAAGACATAGTAAGATGAGGCAACAATACAGATCCCAACACCGAAGGTATATTAAACAATTATAATGAAAACTTGTAAAACCTGTCACTGTAAGCATCCCCATATTGTGAACCACTACCACTAAGTTCATAATCCAAACGAGCCCTCGACTGGCGTACTCCAGCATCAGCATAACGCGGAGGAACATCATCCTAGTAGAATTGACATATACCCAAAGCAATTCAGATATTGCGCTTTTGGCCCCAAAAGGACAAAGAATTAAAGAGTCAATTATAGTGTCACAATACCAGATGGTGCAGCAATTTACATACCATTGCACTATATGGCCGTTTTGACCCAGACATAGGGTCATAATCACGACCGCGTCCTTCACGGTAACTTGGAGGTGGCCTTTCAAACCTTTGCCCATATCCCTCATCTACATAAGCTCTCCTTGCTGCATTACGAGACGTAGTCCTAGGCAAATCTGAGTATCCAGATCCACGGGAGGAATAGTCATCCTTATATGATGGGCGCCTCTCTGCGGGAACCCTGGAAGGATACTCAGCAACAGCTCTGCCCCTAGGAGGAAGCTCATCACGACGACCATAATCCCTCTTCAAGCTACTCTTGGGGTATGAAGGAACTGCAGAAAGCCTGTTTACTAATCAACCATACAGCAGAAGAAATGTAGCCAACTGAACATGATAGAGAAGTGACACATACCAGGTGGCCTCCTCTCATAAGACCTTGATGGGGGAGGAGCTAAGGCCCTGCCTCTCACCGGCATGGTCATAACAGGACGTCTATCTCTAAATGTAACTGGTCTCTTCACCCCACGACTAACAGCAGGTGGCAGACGACTTCCAATTCCTCTAACCCCACGCATAGGAAGGCTGCGTGGAACTGGACGACCCCAGGGAGCCCTGACACCTCGTCCAGCCCCACGTCCAGGTCGGAAATCTCGAGCAACGTGTTTTCCTTTGCCTCTCTGCAGAGGTCTCGACAATCTGGCCCGCACTTTAGCCTGAAATATAACTAGCTTTTAGGAAAAAAATCAATCCATAATTGATACCAAAAATCTCAAGTTACTTAAGATGGACGAACCACCTTGTGTTCTCCTTCACCCAACTCTTCATTATTAATGCATTTAGCGCATGTCACTGCAGCATCATGGGTGCCAAATGTAACAAAACCAAAATCCTTTCTCTTGGCAGATGGCATATTACGAGCAAGCTCAATCTTCACGATCTCTCCATATTTTTTGAGAAGTAACCGAACACGGTCCTCATCCCATGAAGCAGGCAGACCATCCACAAACACAGTTTTAACCTACATCAGAAATAAATTTAGTTTGCAATCAACAAAAACCATTTCAAAAAGTGCCTACCAGAATGGTACAGAGGGTGCGATTCACAAAAATCACAACTGCAGAACAAGCATGCTCTTCACATAAAATCTCAAACCCTAACAGACCTGCATGCTCATAGAATGAGCAAAAAACAAGACATGAAGGAATGGAAACCAAATCTATAAAGTCGTCTCCGTAACTTGCCCTCTTCTTGCTCATTGCAGATGCCATTGCATACATTATACCAAGATCCCATTTATTGACCACAAAGAATGATGACAGAAGTATATCCACAACAAAATTGCCCAAAAATACAACAAACATGAGGTTGCAAGCTTGAATACAAGGAAGATGTTATTTCTAGCACAAATGGATTAAACAGAGCTAAAACAGACTGCAGTTGTTATAATTACATGCAGAGAAGTTAGTCCAAGAAATTACCTGAGCCATGATTTCATCACCAGGGTCAATGAAGGAATCTGCAAAGGAAACCTTTGCAGGCCTGTCAACTCCAAACACAACATCTCTCTTCTGTAGACGCTTAAAGGCATCCATGGCGTCCGAACGAGCAGAAAACTCCAAGAAAGCAAAGCCCCTATTCAATCCCTCATTATTACTGTCTTCAACCAATGTCAAATCCTCAATATTATCAACTCCAAAATGTTTCAACTTCTCTTTCAACTGGAATCAAATTTAATAAGTCAGTTAGGAATTAAAGAACTCTCAATTACCAAATAGAGATAATCTGATGCTCAAGGGACATATTAGTTTGCCCAATCTACTTACAGCTTCCTTTGTCCATGTCTTGCATATGTTGCCCAAAAACAGGGTATCACTATCTTGACTAGGAGTAACACCACATTGCTTACCATTGACCTGGAATTTGTTTTAAGATTATGTGATTATTAACATATAAGCAAAAACATTTGCCAGAAAATTATGACCAGGTCAAGGAAATACCACTGGATTTTTCAACTCAGTAAAAGCTCGTTTTGCTTGTTCAACAGTTGCAAAACGCAAAAAAGCAAATCCTTTGTTCTTCTTAGTTTGAGAGTTCATCATTAGTCTGACCTCTGTCACCTCACCAACTTCACTAAAGACTTTCCTAAGATCTTCCTCAGTAGCATCCTTGTCCAAGCCCCCAACAAAAACTTCAAACTCCTTCCGCTTGCGCCTCTCCTTAAAAACGTCATGGTGTTCTTGTTCCTCTGCATCAATCACATTGGCATGCTCCTCAACAGCATGCACCTCATCCTCACCCTCAAGTTCCTCAGGACCATCTTCCATTTCATCCTCTACCATATCACCCTCTTCCTCTTCACCTACATCCCCCTCAGCCTCTCCCTCAACTTCATCTCCCTCTTCCTGAACATCCTCCTGTTCAATTTCCTTCTCATCATAATCTACACCAACGTATTCTTCCGGTTCAGGTTCAGATTCAGGTTCATTATCCCCCAAGTCCAACCGTTCACCTTTTTCATATTCATCAACAGACTCTTTCACTTCGTCTCCCTCTGTCAGGCAAAAAAAAGATATCAAGACATCCAGCCAGTCAACAAAGTGAAATTCTGGATTACCGACATGGTCTCCAGCACCATCAAATATAAACATATACAAACATCTTTCATATCCTTCAATACCTACTTATTCATTAGGTCGTGAGCTGTAGAACAATTAAAAGTTCTAAACCACTAAAAAAAAATTCAGAATGCTTTGGTCAGCAATTAGTGCTCACTTATATGGTTAAAGGAAATAACATACAATGCTCCACTACTAAGAAATACTTTCCACCAGAGATCACAGCTGGTATATGCAACTAGCATCCACCCAGCCATGTTTACCAATTCATGGGGGAAAAGACAGAACCCTTTTTAATAGTATGGTATGGTGCAATTTTTTTGTGTTCAATTGTTTAACAAACAATTCAGAAGCCTTTTAGGATAAAACAGAAGCCGAGATTGGTTAAAAATCAAATCAAATCTAATTAAGGCCAAAAAACATTAAACAGCTAACCAAAAACAAAAACCATCCACGGTTTAATCATCTTCCAACCAAACAAACAGAAAAGGGAATACGAACCGTTCAATTGAGATTTGAACCACCCTTATCATCATTGTCATAGGGTTCAAATCTTTAACTCGAGCAAATCGAATATCATAAACAAACCCAGCAAGGAAGACATAATAATTGCCCCCAATTCAACAACCCAATCAATCAAATCAAGAAAAACACAACATTGAAAACACCCAATTCCTACCCAGTAGTTAACATCAAAATACAAAATTCTAGAATTCAAATCATACCAAGATCTAATCAAAATAAAAAAAAACTTACTCTTAGAAGAAGCCAGGCCATTCGCCCCCAATTTCACCTCGGATTTAGGATCAACCTCAGGCTCAGGCTCAGGATCAGCCACGGGCTCCGGCTCCGGCTCCGGCTCCGGCTCAGGTTCAGGTTCGGGATCAGCCTCAGGCTCGGTATCAGGCTCGGGCACTTTGCTCTCCACAGGCTTTTCTTCAACAATCTCCGGAATCTTGATCTCCTCCTTCACGTCAATTGGAACCTCCTCGACTTTGGCCGCCTCCTTCTGCGCCTTGGGAGTTCCGCGGGTGGTTCTACCGCCTCGCTTCGTCCCCGGCCCAGCGGCGGTTTTCTTCGCCGTTCTCGGAGGCATTGTTTCAGATATTCAACGGATCAAAAACACAAAAAAGATAAGAAATTTTACAGAAGATGCGAATCAAACGAAACCCAATTAAAGAAAGGACCAAATCAATAGAGGAAAAGGGAGGAGGATTGGAGGGAAATTAGATGCAGTAGTTATAGAGAGAGAGAGAAGGGTGGCGCATCCGAGAGAGACGAAAAAACCCTAGAAAAAGAAGATTGGGGATCTATGGAACGAAACCCTAGTTCAGAATTGTATTTATTTATCTTATTTATTAAAAGATATTTAGAGAAGGTTTGGGTTGGGTGTTTTTAAGAAACAAAAATTGTTAAGGGGTACTTTAAGTGGAGTTCTAACGAGACCTTTACTTATAGGGTTGTAGATCTCATTCATAAATGATTTTGATATATGTGATTTGTTTTTTTTTTTTTTTTTTTTTTTTCATAAAGGTTAATATAGGCACTTTTGAAGATTTTTTTTTTTTTTTTTTTTTGGTTACTTCATACCATATCATTAATGTTATTGCTAGAGTTTCAAATTTAGAATTATGAATCATTGTTCTTTTAGAAAAATATTATGATCCTAAATAATTTATTAATTCTTTTATTAAAACTCTTATATGAATGAGAGTTACATAAATTTATGTGTATAGATATCACACTTATGTGAACCATTTAATAAAAAAATTTAATAAATTATTTAAAGTTTTTAATGTAACTCGGATTTTTATTATGGGCAAAAGTGTCATCTCAATTTTTTTAAATATATTAGTGGTGGTCAACATATATATTATTCTTTAAAATTAAATATTTTATGAAATTTTATTAGTTTCAACGATTGAAAAAAAGAAAAAACATTTTTAAAGAATTTATATTTTATATATGCATGTTATTGTGAGTGAGTAAAGCAAGATATTAACTGTTAATAACTTAATAATTCATTTTGTAGTATAAATTGACAAATAGCAATTGTAGGAGTTGATAACTGAAGCATGCAACACTAGCATAATTTGCACACCAACAGCCTCAACAAATTTCGAAGATAACAATTTTAGCATCATCCTAATTATATTAACAACAATGATTCATCCTACTAAAAAATCACCACTAATAGCACTAATGCATTAAAAAAATAAAAATAAATAAAAAAAAACACAACTCCAAGACTAAAAACATCACATCATTAATGGCAGGACCCACTGCCACCTAATTAGTGAGAGCACTAATTAGTGCTCCCAAACATTTTTCTTATATTAAACAAATTACAAAAGAGTATAAAAATGGGTATGGCTTCTGTCCCGGACTGGACCGTATTATTGGGCCTGTGGAGGTTCATTACGGGTCCCGTTTTGATAATCTGAACTGTTTAATGTGTAGAAATCGTCGAGTACTATATAATTATAAAAAATCACGTTGATCGGATATCGATAGTTATGCGATCAAAACAGTTTTTTGTCAACCATTAATTTGTTCACCATCCAATTTTTTTAATACGAAACTGATTTGATCATATAGCTATCGATATCCGATCAACGTGATGTTTTACAAACATATAGTACTCGACGAGTTCTACACATTGAACGGTTCAGATTATCAAAACGGGACCTATGCTAGACCCCCACAGGCCTAACAGCACGATCCAGTTCAATCACAGACTGAACAGAAGCCATACCCTATAAAAATCTACCAACATGACAAACAGGCTGAAGCATATCGATAGTTATCGCGTCTTTGTTACTTGCCTAATTGAAGTAGTACTCACATTTTTTTTATTATAAAAAATAAGAAAGAAAAATTTATGTGGACCTAATCCTAAAATAGATAAAATACCATATACATAAAATAAAATAGATAGAATAATTTGCTATAGATAATCATGGTTTATGTGGACTATGTCAACAATAGAATGAAGATATATTTCATTAGCAAATTTCCAATCTTGTTTCTAAAGAAGAATAAACAATACAGTATACAATCAAATAATCTTATTATGTGCTAAATTCAAATAGTTCTAAAAAGAATATTTTAATAGGAGGCATTGTACTATCATTACAAGAACTTTGAATTTTTACATTATTTCAAAAAAAAATGCTACTAAAAGGAAAAGCTATTAAAAATTAAGATATTCATAACAAAACATTTTTATGTGGTCGATATCATAGGTTAGCAATACCTTTAAACACCACATTAACATTTTTAGCAATGTTCAAAACCATAATATCAATCTTGGCAGCAATAAATTGTAGCTAACAATCACTATAACAAAATGCACTTTTAGCAATTAAATTTGGTGATTAAAAAAAATTTAATCTGCAAAAATTGTGGAATTGGCAATTAAAAATTATGTTTCTCGGCAAAAATACAATATTTAGCTGCAAATTTTTTTTAGTCGGGGAATATTGATTATTGGCGATTAAAAACAATTAGTCGCTAAAAATATCACAATTGGCAACTAAAAAAGTATTTTTGTCGTTGTATAGTTAGTTTTGGCTACTAAAGTTATTCAGTCGCCGTATAAAAAACAAAAAATTACGTTTTATCTTTGGCTTTGGTCGCCAAAAATTTATTTTTAGCGACTACAAAATATTTTAGTCGTTGTATTTGGCTACTAAAAGTAATTAGTCACTGAATGAAAAAAAAAATTTACTTTTTATTTTTGGCAACTAAAAGTTTGGTTGCCAAAAATTTATTTTCAGCGACAAAAATAATTTTTTGTCACCAAAGAACTAAGATATTTGAAGGGAGATATTTCAAATTTTAGAGGGATTTATAAAATATTTTCACCGGCTAAAAAATATTTTAGTCGCCAATAACCATATATATATATATATATATTCTTCTTTCCCCATTTTTTTGCCCAAAATTGAATTTGTTTCTCTTCTCCATCTGTAGGTCATCGATCTCAATCCCTTAAACCGCTTTGTATGTCCATGCCACCATCGCCGACACCACCGGCGGTCTTTGGCGGCACATCTGACTGTAAGCCTTGTGGTGGTAAAGCCAGAGAGCAACTCATCAATAACAGCTAGGCTAGGGCTAGGGCTCCACACCGATTAAGCCGCCACCGATTTGACTAATTTGATAGTAGGTCCACTGTCGTTGTATGGGAACAAGCTGACCATGCTTGATCTTCTTGGGCTGGAGATTAGAGCTGGTGAAGCTTCCGCTGCTAACTTCTCGACTTTGTTCACTTTCATTGGAGGTGGGCTTGATGTTGCAATGGCTTCATTTGGAGGAGTGAATTCCTTGGCTGAAAAATCTTGGAAAGGTCCATCTGAAATTACATTTTTCTCGACCAATTTTCTCGACTAACTTTTATTTAGTCACAAAAAGTTTTCATTTGTGCGACTAAACTAAAGTTCAGTTGGCACAGGTTTGGAGTTTTGCCAACTAATATTTTTTAGTTGCCAAAATAGAATTTTCTGAGACCAAAATTGAAATTTGGTTGGCAAAAGTCGAACATGGAAGACCAAAGAAAAAACGGGAATGAAAAATTTTCAGCAACTAATATAATTTGGTTGCAGATAATAAAACGATGCCATTTTGATTGTTATTTAAGTAAATTGAAGGATAATACCGGCCAAATAGTTTTGTAGGCAAAAATTGGCCTATATCAGCAGAGTGAATTTTTCAAACTCTTTATACAGTATATATTGCGTACCACTCCTCATATGTATCTCATCGTCGATAAGACGCATGATTGCAGTCACCAAAGTTGCTTTCCCTCCGTCATCGCGGTCGCCTATGTTGCTTCTTCGAGCAAGCATCGAAGGCGCTTCGAGAAGTACTTGGGCCTCCATTGTTAGGTATGTATTTTGTCTATGTTTCTCTTCTCTCTCTCTCTCTCTCTCTCTCTCTCTCTCTCTCTCTCTCTCCCTCAATCTTTGTATTTGTGTTCCATTACTCCTCTTACTCACATGGTTGCTCTCTATTTTCGCACCTAACAACACCATCATCACCATTTTTTTGCTACTACCAGTTCGCCTATCTTCAAACAACCCCAAGATCAAGTATGGGTCCGTCCTCTCTCTCTCTCTCTCTCTCTCTCTCTCTCTCTCTCTCTCTCTCTCTCTCTCTCTCTCTATTTCTCCTTTTTTCTTTCCCTGGAAAAGGAATTTTGTTCTCTAATTATGGTCACTTGAGGTTAGAAACATTCACAGATGCAGATTGGGCAGGCTCTATAGATGACAGACGCTCTACCTCCGGTTACTGTGCTTTTGTAGGGGCAAATCTAGTCACATGGCATAGTAAAAAGTAGGTGGTAGTATCCAGATCTAGTTCTGAAGCTGAATACAGAGTTATGGCACATGGAACATGTGAACTGATATAGTTTCAATCTTTTTTGAGTGATATAGGACTTGATTGCAGTGATCCCATGACTTTGTATTGCGACAACAAGGCTACCATATATATATATATATATATACATATATATATATATATATATAGAAAGAGGTTTGATCTTTTTCTTTGTGGAAAGGACTCTTTTTCATTATTTTTTCTTTGTTTTTTCTCCTCCCAAAAGGCATATTCTTTGGGGTTTTCTAATACTTCATCTTTTTGCTTATTAAGTGAACAAATGTGACTCACGCGAGCTAATTGCTCTGTGGCTAGAGATTTGTGACTGCTTTTGTTGTTTTGGTTTGTGCATCAAACCTAAAGGGCCCCCTTATATTATTAATAAAGCAACAAAGACTACTGCTTATGACTTATGTTTTGAAAAATATAAAACTAATAAATATATTCGTTTGAAAGTCTCTAGTTCCTATCATGACCATATATGACTTAAAGGACAATATAACAATAGCATGTTATTGCAAGCCTTGGATATGCTGGGGAATAGGTCCCCTTGTTTAACTGGTATTGCAAAAAACAAGAGATATGTTATATTATGTGCTGTTAGATTGTCATACAATATGGTTCTTTGGAAATGATCTTGGATTTGTTTTCGCTTCTGTTGTCACTAATTTTTTATTGTTAAAAAATTGTCACAGAAAAATGCAATTATAAGTAATTACTCATAGTTTTGCATGCATTTACAAGTGGTCTGTTTTGTTTGTAAAGTCCTTCTTGGGACAATGACTTACTAGAATTTCCCTAAAATGATTTTGGGACTATTGCATAGAGTGGAAAGAGGTTGGTGGCATTCTTCAAAACCTGGTGCCAAGTATATTTCGAATTGTTTTGTATAGGGTGTTTACTTTGTGTATTTTTAAACAAAATTATTTAAAGTAATTCATTAAAGACAAATGAGCGTTTGTTGATGTTTTTTTTTTTTTTTATGTTAGGGTTTAAAACCGATGCTTAGTTGTTGAAGTGATGCATGAG